AAAATTAGTAAACTTCGTGCAATACAACCCTGGAATAGGTAAACATTGCTCAAATCAATCTTAAATCAAAAAAGAACACTAACATGAAATGAAACTATCAAAACACCCATTTTCCATCCAAATCAATGAACCCTTGCTTTACCACATAGCATAAGCACAAACACAATAGACCTTCACCAATAATGGCTGTATGGAGGAAAGAAATTCAACATTATTAACAACCAAATTGTTGGGGTGTATTGGACCTCTTTCACCCGAAAAGCTAGCTCAAGAGATGAAACTTTCCCTCTTACTTATAAACTGAATACTAACTTCATCCACAACCGATGTGGGACGACATCAATAATCTCCCCATCACACATTGGGTTTTGCAAGATACCAAACACATCTCCCCCTCACACAACAGGGTCTGCAGGAGACCAAACCCGTCTCCCCCTCACACAAACCCATATCTCCGTGACTGTCGAGTTGGAGACTTGTTGATAAATTGGGCTCTAATACCAGTGTTGGGTGATATTGGGTTTCTCTCACCCCAAAAGCTAATTCAAGATGTGAGGTTTTCTCTCACACTTATAAACTGAATATCAACTTCATCCACAATCGATATGGGACAACCTCAACAATCTCCCCCTTACACATTGGTCGGGTCAGATTAAGGCTACAAGATGGGATAGTGAGAACACTTGATCATGTTCGTCATGTCCCAGACTTGACAAAGAATCTTATATTGCTGAGTACCCTGAATGCAAAAGGGTATAAATATGTGGCTCCTCTTTCAGTTTCGTTTAAGCCAAATTGTTGTGTCGTTATAATTCTCTCCATATTGTTGGGTTTAATAAAATTCATCGTTCCTCTGTTTAGTTTCTCTTTTTCTACTTTACTTTAATCTTGTTTTCATAGTGCGATCTTGAGTATTTCATTATTGCCATTAAATCTCAATCTTACATCGCATTTGGGATCAACACAAATTATTTTACAAACTCACATCAAGCATAACTTCTTTGTCTAAACATTGATTAGGAAACATGAATATTCAACTCAACCATGCAAAAATTTCTGTACAATAGCGCGCGGAGACTTTTTTTGGTTCACAAAAACGTGAAAATTGTGTGATATTTTTGTATATTTTGGTGGATTAGGAGTTTCTACATTGATTTTTTTTTTCCCTTTTGGTTCCTTTCCCACCCTTTTTTTTAAAACATACATGAGTTCAAATAAATAGACATGGATGAAGAGACAAAAATATCCTTGATAATTTTATTCATTTTGGCTTTCAAAATTTCTTTGAACATAGAAATTAACAGATGTGAACATGGGGTTTTTCGCAATGTTTGGGTGACGTAAAGAGATTTTGCGCCAAAATGAAAGGTTATGGTATATTTTACAAAATTGGCAGAAGTTAAAAGGTATTGTGCCAATAATCCTAATTCAGAATGTCTTTGCACCACATAAATACATTTTTAATCATTACAATTAATATAAATTGGGTAAACATTCGAATAATACTATCTAACAACATCAGTTTAGTTAATGCTAAGTAATAAGCTCAATGAAAGGTAAAATTAAGTGATTCATTAAATTATACATCTCATTTAATATCATTTTAGCGCTAACTACATTGTTGTTTTAACACTAATTATACTAAAGAGCTTTACTTCTAAACATTCAGACCAGCCACCAGCCGTCTGTCCATTCAAAATCATAACTACATATATAATTTTATAAAAAACAATTGTCAAAATTACACAACCCCTCCACTTCTTTGATAGAAAATGCTTTGAAGCATGAGTATAAATGTCATTTTGCGACTCCAAAAAATTGATCAAAACGAACTACTCTCAATCAACCGCTGTTCAAACTTCAAATACAGACAAGAACACTTAAAACCTTGATTGCATCAAATTGCAACGAGAAAACAATCTATAATTTTTATTTCGAAAATTGCATAGTTGGTAACCAGTTTATAGTCGACATAGAGAGATAGTCTCCTAGCTTTACAATGAAGCAGTTGTTCATTATAATTGCAAAATTAGTCATCGAGTACATAAACCATCAAAATTTCTATAAAGTGGGCACTATGCAAATAATCTTTTTTTCTATAGGGATTTATTACAAATTGAATATATAGACTACCTTATTTTTTTTTAGATAATTTAATTAGTGGTTACTGAATTTTGTTATAGGTTATTATTTGCTCATTGAAATTTAAAAGTTGGTCTTTGTTCACTGAACTTTATTTTATGTTCCTACTTATTCGCTGGAATTTAAAAGGTTACATGTTGTTCACTCAAATTTGAATAAAGTTACCCATCAATCACCCAAACCATTTTCATTAGTGTTACCTATAGCAAAATTTAGTGAACGAGTAACTTTGTGCAAATTTATGTGAACACTGAGTAACCTTTTAAATTTCGATAAGCAAATAATAATCTATAAAAAGTTCTGTGAGCAATGATTAATTTTTAAAAAATCGGTAAGCAAGTAGTAACTATATTAAAGTTCAATGGACATTGATTAAATTAACTCTTTATTTTTATTCTTATGTCATGTTGTTTTGATATGTGAAGGATGAAGTATACATGCACATTTTGGCCAAAAAAAAGAAAAAGAAAAAGAATGTAATATGAAGCTAGGCTTTCTTTCTCATGGTGAGCTTGTGGTACCAAAAAATTGAAGTAATGTATATTTTCATGAGAGTTACTTGACAATTTGACAAAAATTAAAAAGTTTCCATTTCGAGAACCAATTGTGCAAAAAATCCATTCTCAACAATATATGTGTTAGGGAATAAACAAAGAAATGACGATAATATGACAACATAAAAATCAAGCAAGAACACAAAATTTAAGTGGTAAAAACATACCACGAACAGAAGAGGAGAATGTGTTAATATCAATAATGGAGTATTACAAACTATTGTGTAGAATGTAATAATTGATTTTTCTAAAGGTTTACTTCTTGTATATGTTGCAAAGAAGAGCCTAAGATGTGGTGGAGTTCAACTATAACAAGTTTATACAATAATGGAGTGTTTGAGAAGAAATAGGATTCAAATAACTACCTCAAATCATGAACTAACTCCTCCTCGGATAATACTGGCACTTAAGCGACAGTCTCCCAGACGATGAGAGGTGGCTGATCGCTCGAGCAACCTCATCACGGCCAGTGAGTGCTGACATCCTTGTTCTGAGCTTTCGAGTAGGTGCTGAGAACGTAATGTGCGTCGATATGATGCTTCCTTCTCCTTGCATAATTTCTTCTCCTTCTATTGCAAATTGAACTTCTTCAAATCTTCTTCAAGTCCAAACCAACTTTCAAACTCCCAACAGAACTCCCAAATTCAATTCCAAATAGTCTTCAACTAGAATTTCCAACTAAATTTCAATATAATTTTCAAATAGTTTTCCAAATAGAATTCAGGTCACACCTTAATTCTACTAATATGCTATTCAAATTTTTAATAAATTGTTAGCCTATCACATTCTAACTTTATGAAGCTCTAAGTTCCATTTCTGCTTGGGTTGATTCCAAAAATATGAACTGACGCATATTTCCACGATGGGACAATCTAACAAAAATTTTAACTACTTATTTTTATCAAGAATTGATTGTGCTTTAATGCAATGTTTGGGTAGGTGTCATTAAAAATTTGATGGATTTTAAAATATTATAAATTCTAATGAATTTCATGGATTTGAATTGATTTTCACAAAATCTATAAGAATCTTATTTAAAATGACGAAATTCGAAAAGAGTTTGTTATATATTTCTTAAGCTTGAAATCCATCAAATTATTTTAAAATCCCTCTATGAATGAAATTCATATAAATCCATGAGTTATTGAGGATAATGGAGGTGTCCTCAACTGAGATTTTGATGGATTTTAAAATATCCTTCTAAATTCACGTATCTCCAATTGAGATTTTAATGAATTTTATTGAAAAACATTAAAATCTAATGGTGTGTTTGATTACATTTATTTTTCATGAAAAATATCAATTTTTTCATCCAAATTTCTACTTGGGGTGTTTGATTGCTATTTTTTTCCATGAAAAACATTTTTCAACTTTGAAAATATGCTTAATTTTCCTTGGATTTAGGAAAAATATTTTCCTTGGGTGGAGGTGATTTTTATTTTCCTCAAAAGAAGGAAAATATTTTCTTTTTTATGTGATATTTTTCATGTCAATCAAACACACTCTAAATGTTTCCAACAGAAATTTTAATGGATTTTAATGAAATTCATTAAAATTTAGGGGTGCTCGATAACTCATGGATTTATATAGATTTAAGGAATTTTAAAAGATTTGGATGGATTTCAAATTTAAAAATACAAATAACAAACTCTTTTTAAATTTCATTATTTTTAATGAGATTCTTATGAATTTTCTAAAAATATTTTCAAATTCACGAAATTCTTTAGAATTCATAATCTTTTAAATCTATCAAAATCACAGTTGAGCTTACCAAATAAATTTTAATGGATTTCATTAAAATCCATTAAAATCTCACTTATGGACAACTAGATTTTTATTAATTTCATTTAAAATATCATTAAAATCTCAATTAGAAGTACCTGAATTTAGTAGGATTTTTAAAATCATCAGAATCTTGAAGACACCCTTAAAACTAGTTGGCACATATTTTCTTCTCAATCGATAGTTGGACCAGTGTGCAATATTCCTATGTTTGTTTTAAGATGTCTTCTATTTCTTTTCAGAGTTCCAATGTTATGCCATCTACCAAGATTTCTTGTATATGAATCTATGTTTCTTCATTGAAATCTACATGAAAGCCAGAAAATTATGCATTGGCAAATCTCAACCAAATGGAAAATTTGTAACTCATATCGGGAATAGGATTGGCAGGCAATTTTGAACGAGCTATAAAGTTACAAACTTTCGATCCAGTCGGCTCAAATGACTCTATCACGCAATGGAGGAGTCGTAAAGGCTGTAGCAGCTACAGCAGTTTGCAGTTTGATTATTGCTGGATTTTTATTCTATCTTTTCTATAGATTTTCCTTAGCTCGACAGCGTTTGAAGAATAAACTCGAGTCTAGTTTTCGCAGGGAGGATGCACCTTGCACAGAATTCATACAACAAGGTGGAGGTGTCAAAGGAATTATAGTAGATGAAGATGGATTGGACGTTCTGTATTTACGAAAAGTCGAAGGGGGAGATTTTCCGAACCTTGCTTCTAAGGTTTCGTGTAATAATCATATCAATGAAGAAGACAAGAGAAGAAAATCTCAGTCAATTCAAGAAACTCCATTGCTTCATTTACACAGCCATGATTTTGAGTCTGTGAAGGAGAAATCAGTGTCTGTTGCCACTTATGATAGGCCAACCACATCTGAATCATTGGCGATTGCACCACCGCCACACCCTCCACCCCCACCACTCTCCGTCATGGTTTCAGTTAACCAAATTACCCCAGAACCTCTACCAGCTCCTTCTACTCCACCGCCGCCTCCTCCACCTCCATCTCCACCACCGTCTTCAGTAAAAGCAAAACCTTCATTATCACCTAGATCGGTTAGATCCGAGGCCGGTTCATTTTCACCATTGAAGCCACCTATTCCTCCTAGAGGGGAATTCAATAAATATAGCAATGTGGATTCAGATGAAAACTCGAAAGAATATGGCGAAATTCAAATGAAACTCAAGCCACTACACTGGGATAAGGTTGTTGCCAATGCTGATCATTCAACGGTCTGGGATGAAATCAATGATGGATCTTTCAGGTAAGTACAATATTTACTGTCGATTTTCTTGGTTTGGGAAATTTTCAAACGGACAATTTCAACAGAATCTTTCTCAACTTATACTGATTAAGAATTCTATTGGCAGATTTGATGATGAGCTCATGGAAAACCTCTTTGGATACACTACAACTAGAGAGAAATCGACAGGAGAAAATGGCCTATCCTCGAATACGGGCAGTTTTAAATCTGCTCCACCAGCACAAATTTTCATCCTTGAACCCCGAAAATCCCAAAACAAGGCAATTATTCTTAAATCTCTTGCAGTTTCTTGTAAAGAAATCCTTGAGGCTCTCATGGAGGGTCAAGGACTCAATGCTGATACCCTCGAAAAATTAACCAAGATTTCTCCAACAGAAGATGAAATCGCCCAAATCCTTCAATTCAATGGGAACCCTGAGAAACTTGCTGATGCAGAGTCTTTCCTCTACCATATATTGAAAGCCATTCCCTCAGCCTTTACGCGTTTGAACGCGATGCTATTTAGGTTGACATATGATTCAGAGATACTTCATTACAAGAAATCTCTGCAGACTCTCGAATTGGGATGCAACGAATTAAGAACTCCCGGAATTTTCTTTAAACTCCTCGAAGCCATTCTTAAGGCTGGTAATCGAATGAATGCCGGTACAGCCAGAGGAAATGCTCAAGGCTTCAACCTCAGTGCCCTGCTAAAACTTTCTGATGTCAAAAGCACCAATGGAAAGACTACTCTCCTTCAGTTTGTAGTCGAGCAGGTGATCAGTTCTGAGGGTAAACGTCGTTTAAACAATCAAAACAATAAAAATGACAATACCGAACAAGATTCAGATAGAAAGATTTCTGAAGAAGAAAGAGATAAAGAGTACTTAATGCAAGGATTACCAGTTGTGTTAGGATTAAGTACTGAATTAGCCAATGTCAAGAAATCAGCCACCATAGATCATGACAGCTTCATCAACATATGTTCCATTCTTACAGCCAAAATCGATGACATTAAACGGCTCATAACACGCTGCAAGGATCATAAACAGGGTCAATTCTTAGTCGAAATGAAAGGCTTTCTAGAAGATTGTGAAGAGGAACTAAATGTGGTGCGAGATGAACAATCAAGGGTAATGGAACTTGTGAGGAAAACAACAATATATTATGAAGCAGGGGGTTATTCTAAAGACAAAGGCCCAAATCCACTTCAACTATTTGTTACAGTGAAGAGTTTCTTGGACATGGTTGATCAAGTTTGTGTCGATATATCGAAGAAACTGCAGAAGAAAAAACAGACAAGCGCAGGATCTTCACCGCCATTGTCAAGGTCCCCTGTGAGATTTCCTAGTTTACAGCCTTATTTTAGGACAAAAAACACAGGAACATTTTCAAGTGATTCAGATGATGATTTTTGAGAAAGATTTAGACGGGATTTATATTAAGTTACTTAATTCTATATAGATTGGTGAATTTTGAAGATTTTAACCATTTTTTCGATAACTAACTGTTAACCTTCTGATTGAAAAACTTAAGCTGTGATGATCCTCCTCATGTGAAGCATTATAAAAAAATCCGTCTTTGAATCAAGTCAAAAAACATGTTCTATTTAATAGATGAAGCGCTTGATTAAACAAAATTGAGAGGAAAAAAAAAAATTTAAACAGTTTTCTTATAGTTCATTTAAGCTCATATGCATCAAGAAGACTGAAAATTTTATGATATTTCCAAGTTCAATCTATAGTGTATGCCAAATTGATGCAGAAAACTTGAAGAACCATATAAATGACATCAGATGTGGTAGCAAGAAATGTTTTTATTGCTGAGAAATGACAATTGCCCAACTTGTTGGCCATTCAATCCATTTTTCTTTAATTTTTTAGTGTTCCCATTATTGTAATTTCCAATTCTATTTTTGGGATGTCGAATTGTTTAATTTGAGTGATCTATTAATTCAAATATTCAATTACAATTTATTTTGACTTGTTCGCTTTGACGCGGTCATGTTTAATTTGAATAAATGACTGAATTTAATTGTACGAGTTGTTTAACATGACGTTTGCCTTCTAAGAATGGATTACCATTGATATTATTAAAGAATTAACTTATAAATAAAACTTTTTACTTATTTTGTTAAATCTTGACTTAACTGCTCAATATTTAGGCAAAACAATTTAACCCTACTTGATGTCCAGGGCCACATGCCCCCCGCCCCCTACCTATACGGGGCGCCACGTCCTGGACGTGTATCTTATTCGAAACGATTTGACCACTTTTACTAAGCTTGACTATAGATTTTGAAGCCTACACAAGTGCACCTTGTAATTTGACATGCCTAAAAAGTCGTCAAAAGATCATGAAGAATAAAATAACAGCTTGATTGCGTATATCGAAGAATCCATGGGATTATTTCTTACCCTCAAATAAAACTCATTACAATCCCCATAAATTTGTTCTGCAAATGAAATTTTGAAGAAACCAAATCTGAGCTTGCTTATTTGTGATTATTATGTGTAGTTTTAGTCAATTGTCACTATAATATATACTTGACATATATTTCGTGCACCCCCCCCCCCCCCCCCCACACATACACCCACATTTCAAACAGAACCAACAACAATAATAAACTTGTTAGGATAATGGGAAGCAAGAGTATGTTTAAACTCACAGGTCACAATAAACACCTTCAAACGGTATTGCAAAATGTTTTTGTTAATAATTTTTTCATATATATTTCCCAAGTTTCGATAATGCGTTTCATCGGCTATGGTTCATCACCATTTCAATCACTCGATGAGCATACCACTATCTAAAACATTCTGCACTGCAATGTAAACCAAAGAGAATACCAAGGCCGGAAAGAAATTTTCAATGTAGAACGAAAAAAACCCAAGAAGATCTACAGTCCGCAAAAGAATTAAGCACAAAATGAAAACAACCTCTAGTGTTCTTCCAAAACGCGAATGATCCACTCTCACAAGGCAAGGAAAACTAATTAAAGTAGAATGACTATCAATTCTGCACAATATAGAATGAATATGCTGAAACTTGAACATAACCTCCAGGCACTTTTCTATCCTACTGATTTATCGTGCTCAACTTTTGATATGTCCCTAATGAAACCATGCAGAAATATCGAGTATTATCATAAAAATCATCCAGTAAAGGTAAGCTCTGAATATGATGTAGAAGAGGAATAAAATGCACAAAAGGGGTAAATTCAATCAAAAGAGCTTAGGCCATTGTGTGGTGAATTTCCCTCACCATATTAGCGCGTAGTTTATCAAATAGAGGCGAATAAACTAATCTCAACAAGGAAAGGAAAGTTGTACTAAACCACATTTAGTGTATACGCATTGTATACCACCTTATCTATTCACATAATAACATGTCTTCTACATCATAACAAGCACCACACAAATGTGGACAAAAATTATACGACACTATAATGGTTCTTCTTTGAGTCAACATCTAATATTGTGAAAATCATATTCTTAACGGTAAGAACACACACAAGTCGCCCTGAGGGAAAGAGATAAAATTCAAGGGAAACAGAGAATCTTCCTACGACCTTGTTATCATGCTACAAGAACGGGGCAGCTGAAAGGTCAAGCTGCATCCGCCTGATGTTGCCTCTCCCTCGACAGGAACAGTTTCATATTGCTTCCTGCAGCCTGGACAGCGCCCATTCTCCTCAAGGATCCTTTTGTGACAGAAAAGGCAGAGCCTAAATCCACACAAACAAGGGAGAAAACTCGAATCTGTGAAATCAAAATCCTCATAACATATTGGACACGAGGTAGGAACTGACCCTACATTCTTATAGTGCCAAACAGAGCCTCTGCCACAAGCATGCCGCTCAGTATTCAAGGGAAAACTATACTGCTTTGACAAATTGGGCAGGCTCTGAGGGCGACAAGCATCATCAGGCCTCCAAGCCCAACAATTTACAGGTGCCTTCTGCACAACTGATACCCCAGTCTCAGGCCTTGGATTCGAACTAGCAGTCCTTGAAACTGTCCGGTTTGTTATTGCTGATTGAGATTCTGATTGGACACCAACTACACGTTGACCTGGAGGAGGTGAATATATTCTTGAGTTGACATTATGCTCATGCTCGTTTTGGTCAGTGGCAGCCAAGGCATCAGCCATAGCCTCCCAGTCATCAAAACACCCATCATCATCTACCTCTCTCATGCTTTCTGAGCTACTGCTACTGCTTCGGCTGCTGCTGCTGCTACTTCCAGTAAAATTGGCCCCAGAATCATTGCTATCCAAGATACTACTGATGCTGCTGGTGGGGCTGCTCAAGGGTGATGACTCTGAATCACCGTAATGGTGGGTCAACATTCCATCTTCGTATTTATCCTCCGGACTTACCTCCAATTTATCTATTAGAGGGACACTTTCATTCTCCAAATTCACTGATGGAGGGCCATGCATCCCCTCTCTAACAATGAATTCACCATTAAAGCCACCCTTGCTCTTCACTAAAAATAAGGATTCCCGTCACTAAACATTACCAAATAATTCAAAATTGAATATTTAATTCAATCTCATGCACAGGAATGGGCACATGAGAATATTTGGTAGCTAAAATTATAATCTAAGCATGTCAAACATAGTTCTTATCCACATACTTTTTTGGACCCATATATTATAATGTATCATCCACAACTTATGAGCACTACCAAACAATCATAGAATTTACATTTAAACAGAAAAATAGATAAAACGTTTAAAATCTCACATAATCGCATGCATTGGTATATAAAATAGGTTGAGATCTTTCAAACACCTTGAGAAAGCCACTGCTCACGGCGAGCATCAAGCTTATACTGCTTCAATTTCGCCAACCGATTTGCCTAATAATTCCAAAAAAGGTGGATGTAAATACACTAAACTATATAAACTTGACATATAAAACAAAAAGAAGATACCAAATTCCTCTGAGATAACAACAAATCTAAAAACCCATAAAGCAAAATGATATTCATTCTATTGAATTAAAGTTTAAATTATTTATATTGAACCCAAAAACTGACTCAAACACGTTAAAGGTTTTTTTCCAATAAACAAACTTGACAAAAACGAACACAGATATCCGTACGTATAAATTTCACATAAGAACATAAAAATTAAGAAACCAAATTAATACCTTTTTTTTCTTGGCGAAATCTTTGGGGTTAGAGGATGTCATGAGGATTGAAACTTTGTCATTCGAATCAGAAATCATGGCTGAGTCAACTAGTTCAAGAATCCGAAAACCCTAAATTGATAGTAGATATACAGAGGGAGAAAAAGGACAGATATAATACAGAGAGAGAATGTAGATAAAAAAGGCCTTTTGATTATTTTTCTTTAGCAGAACACTGCTATTTATAGGAATCATGTGACCATTTTGCCCTTCCATTTCACCGTATTTTCATGTGGCACCAACAGGGTAAGCGAAAATTATGGGAATATTTCGGGCATATATTTATGACAAGATAGAAAAATCCGCTTTTATACGACAGCGTATGATGGACAGTTATAATTAGAAAAATGTGAAAAGACTGTAATCTTTACGCCAAGCACTATCTATATGACACGTGTTAGGTGGATTTCATTTTTTGGATGATTACGTAAAGTTGTAATTAATTACCAATAATTGTTAAAATTCTCCAAATTGTATAATTATCTCTTAACGTGTTTAGATGTGTTTAAATTATAATATAAGTGTTTGTTTGGGATAAAATTATGAGTTCGAGTGAAATTTTATTTTATTGAGAGAATGCACGGTGAAAAATGAATTTGAATAAAAAATGATTTCTAATAAATTGTGTCAAACATACGGTAAGTTGGTTAAACGTATTTTTTATCTATACGTTCTGTACGATCCACAAGTTACTATCTACTATTGAAGTATTTCATAAGATCCATAATTTATAAACAATTAAGCACTTACAAAAGTACCAAATAAGTAGATAGATTGTGGAAGATATGATCTAATTAAGCCCTTGTTTGAGTCTCATTTTTGCCAAGAAAATGAATTTTTAAATAGTGTAATAATGTGAAATGTGTGTTTAAAAAATAAGGAATTTTTTTTTTGAATTTGTGTGTAATTTATTTTATTAAAAAATGTTTGGTTGAAATGATATTAAAACACTGTTTAAGAATACATTTTTTTCAAAAAAAGGGACTCAAACAAAGCTGTTCTTTTAATACTTTACCAAACATTTCAAAACATAAACCTTAAAGTAAATTTCTTTTGATGATTACTCTAAATACATAATAATTCATGTAATGTTGTTTAAGTTTAGTGATTGATTTAATTGAATACTGAGCAGAAAACATTATTTTTTTTAAAACACATAATTAAATTTCAAATAAAAGTCAGAACAATATTGAAGTAGTTAATGTGGACTAACTGCGAATGATTTCATGTAAAAGTGCTCACGTAAAGATTTCGAATTCTTCGAGACTTGATTGATATAAGGAAGATAAATTTAGGGTAGTTGATTTTATTATTATTTGCTAATAAGTATTATATAAAATTTCTTCCTTTGCCCTACGTGTGACTTGTAGAAAACTAAAAACACACGTGATTATTCAGAAAAATGGAAAAATAAATGAAAAGTGGCCCTTTGTACTTGTCCACGTAGACTACTAAATCAACACAAAAAGCAGTGGCAGATAATTAATAGGGTTTTGATAGTTGTACCACCCTCTCACAAAATAAGGAGCCCGCATCCAATAAAAAAATTGTGAGCCCCTTCTTGTGAGGGTGGTTGTACATTGACCTGTCCAATTTAGTGTACGAGTAACCTAATTAATATAAGAAAAATACTATGAGCACAGTACATTTGATAGGATGGTTGACAACCCTCTCACATATAAAGGGTGAGGACAAGATTAAAATAATTGCGAGTCCCACGTTTGTGAGAAAAGCTTGACTTGTAAAATAAATTGAGAATATTTCAATTGAGATCTCAAACTCTTGACGTCTGTAACGATGAGATTCTAAATTTTTGATTGTGGTACTTCGGGTCGTCATCCTTTTAAAATTTTGCACGATTAGTGCTTTTTGATTGAAATCATCAATTTTACTATTAGGATAACTATTAAATCCTTATTTTGAATCGATGCTTTCTAAATAAGTTTATTCTTTCTTATTTTTGTACTAAAATAGACGGTGGTGATATTGACATCAATATACAAAATACTTATTCTTTGAATTCAAATCAATTTTCATTTTTACAAGTTTATACAATATTATTTCTATTTCTTCATTCTTTTGGCCATCTTCCTATCGCTTGTGTTAGGTTCAGATTGAAGATTATATCAATCCAATTGCAGAAAATAAAGGCAAAAGACAAAGATCACCTAGATTTTTCACCAAATCCAGAAGGTTCATTGACCACTTCTAATACCTAATTCACCGTTGAGCATCTTCTAGGAGGATAAAGTTCAAAAGCACTAGAAACAAATGTTGACAACAAATGTTATAACAATTCGAACCAATATGCCTTCAAGAACCCTAAATGGCTAAACTAAAATGTTTTCTCCACTTTCATATCTCCTTAGAGGTGGCAATAGTGCAAGCCAAGTTGTCTTGACCCTTAAAAATACGAGCTTGGCTTGGGGTATTATGAGTTGAGGTTGGGTCACGTCTAAAAATTCTGCTCTAGTCAATCCTTTGGCTTGTAGCCCTTGTTAGCTTAGTCGAGTCAATTACAAGTTAGTTCTTTTTTTCAATTAAAAAAATTAAACCTCTCTACCTTTTTAAAATTTGGGAGCAGCTACTTTTAATACACGTAGAGTTAAGATTGTACACATAAAAATGCATTTTACAACATGTAAAAGGCAACATTCTTTAGTTACGTGTTTGCTGAAAGAGGTCCACAACAACATCTAATAAATGTATGTTGCCATTTGTTAATATAATTGAAATTTGACAATAGTATTTTATTGCAAGTTGCTAATGTCGCATATAACGTTTATTGAATATTGCCAAAAGTTAACTTATTTCCCATTTTTTGCAATGTTTATCGACCACTGTTAAAAGTTGATTCTATAGCGACATTAATTGATTGTTGCTAAAACTATAAATATGTTTCCTTTGACTGTAGCATAAACTTACTATTTAACAACGTTCAACGTATGTTGTTATTAATTTGAATCAAATTTCAAATAAAACCCAAGTCAAATTGTCATATTAATTTTTCCATTTACGGTCTTTTATAGAAAATGGGGCAAACGGTTCCAAACCTTTGTTGATATGGTATTTTTTTAGTTCAAATCTTTAAATCTCAGATCTACGCATTTTTTATACAACTAATCATTTCGGATGGATTCCATTAAATGGATTGATGTTTTGCATGTGGACTATAATTAATCTTATATAGTTTTTGATAAAAGGGGCAAATTTGTAAAATTAAAATAAAGAAGAAAAGATTTTAACTAAAAGCAAAAATGTATGTAACTACTTTCTTCCTCATTCATAACTATCACCACGCAAATTGTCCGGCCACTAGAGAACATCCTTAACCCTACAATTGTCATAGTCACAAGAATTAGCACTAATAGAGATGGTAATCAGTTGGGATGGCATGGGTTGAAGTTTGGAGCGAACCCAATCACTAAATCGAAAGTTCGAGTTGGATGAATTCCCCACCCGAAAATCAACTGAATGAGACGAAGTCGATTTGAATCGATTCGATTTGTCGATTTCAAGGATAAAATGAAGGATATTCTTCCTTTGAAATCAATTTTTTTTTTTTTGGCCCTTGAGTGACTTGACTCGATTTTCCGCAAAACTGGTTCCACGTGTTGGGAATCTACCTAACATGTGCAACGGAAAATTAAAACATATTTCGATTCCCATCAGGATTCATCTTTGTGTTTAGATAGAAATTATCATAAAGATGTACCTTTT